CAGGGAAATGAGGAATTGGACGAGTTATGTTAGAGCTAAATACCACCCGGCCGATATAAGTTGGCGTAGTGACTATTGGATCCCGGCTTTACGATAAAGCCTTGCGATGTGTGCGATATCTTTTTCTTTTTATTCAAGTGATAGTCATTTCGGAAAAGTGTTTACATTTAACACAACGAGATGGCATATAGATGGGAGTAAATAGATTTTCTCTAGAGTAAAATATGTGAAAATAGGTACAGCGAAAGTATATGAAAAATTGTGTCGAGTTGTCGAGAAGTGATTTGTTGGGGGAAAAGTGTAAATCATAAAAGAAAAGTATTTCAGATATCAAATTCCAAACGATTAGGGTCGCCTCGAAATTCATAAGAGAGGTTGGAGAATTTTAATGCTGAATTAAAAGATCAGGCTTTTGTACATCGTTTTGTGTTCATGTGGTGATGTCTTTGTGGCGAAGACCTCATGTCCTCTCTTCAGGCATTAAGATGAGCACAGTTGTCGCATGAAAAGGGAGCGGATATGGTCGTAGCTTCTTCCTTAGGCAAACAGACGAGCGTAATATCATGCCATGCTGGCTCTTGTTTTAGGATTGTGTATGCAAGTGCTTTGAATGTGTTCAATGCTCACATTCTATTTAGCATGTCACTCTTCAAGAAGCATTATTCAGTTTTGGTTTGCTCCCGTAATTGCCCACATGTTGGTACACGAACGTTTCTGGCTATTACAATACCTCTCAGTCGACAGACGAAAGCCCACCACGATTTCTTCGGGGTAGCTGGACCCTTCTGCCCATCTTTTCAAACGCCATCGTTACTCTCAATCGGGAGGACTTTGGTCGTCAAGTCCAAGTGAAGCCAAATGGCATTGTCAAGCCTGCTTCTCATTCGCCTCTGGGATAGTTTCTTATCAGTTATCGCGTCATCTTTGCAGAACGATGATCTACCAGTCTCTTGTTTGTGATCAATTTGGCCTTTGTTGTGCATAAAGAAGATGACACGCTTTTGCCAAACCCAAACCTGATGCGCTTAATTTCTTCTCCCTTTTTTGTCAGGAAATGTCCAAAAGCTGTTCACTAGCTCTGGCTAGTCTTGACGCCATCTCGAAGCAGCCAGTCGAGCCTTCAACTCAACCGGTTGTTGGGATCGTCGAACGTGGAAGTGACCTCATCGACGCGAGCGCGGAGAATGGGCATACTCCTGCAGGACGGCTTGAGTCGTTGCTCGAGGCTGGCCGACTCGATTGGATGCGCCAGACTCTGATTTGCACGCAAGCTGTACTGGAACAGGCTTTGGAGCGCATGATGACAGTAAGTCGCATTCGAGGTTCGCAGCCACCTTCTCTCTTTTCTCTTCCCTTTCACTCGTTGCATCCTTTCACCGCTTTCTTGCAAGGCCGATGAGCCACGGCGAAAGAGGCTTGAATGTTTCGCAATCAGCTGCAATCACACTTTGCATCCATCACCATCAGCCTTAAGGGAGCATGTCATCGGTTTATGACTTGCCTCCGCCCGACATTTCTGGATGCTTTCACCGCTGGCGGTTGTCTAGCACGACCAAGTGGCTGTCTGGTGAATGGATCCAAGAGAAGCACTTTCTGTGCGGACCCTTGTTCGGCGAGTCCAATTGGCGTTGTTGTGGGAGCTCATGCACGTCGGATACCGGCGAACGGGACTCACTCAAAAGGATCCGATGGCTACACGGGCACCGGTCGAGGTCATTTGTGTAGGGACGAAATGAAAGAAACTCCACACTTTCCAAATTTGCCGTTAACTTGCTTCATCTTCTCGCCCCAAATCAACGTTTTCCAGGCAGGCTCGTGTATTTTTAAGGACCAACACCTGAAAGTTGTCGTGGAGACTTTTTATTTCGTATGCAAGAAAATGGCGAAGAGGTTCATCGGTTGATCTAACCTGTTGTTCTGAAGCCATGCTTGACTTTAATACGACTTTCGGGTTGCCGAAATCCACGAGACATCCTCCCCCATTTCGAATGAAAACGGGCCCAGCTTCGGCCTATCACATGATGGACGTCACCTGAGCTGGAACTCATTCTTGTAAAAGTATTACATTAACTTCAGCTCCATCGTACCACTCATCTGTACTAATAACTGAAAAACGAAAGTCTATAAACATAGAAAGATATAGGGTGTTTTGGCTAATTCACTTTCACATTGAGTATATTCAAGAGGTAGTATAGAGCCGAACACTCTTCTTGATCTGGTGTTAACTTGAGACATGTACAAAAATGACTACCAGATCTGATGATGTCCATCAGCGGATGAACGAATGCTCACCCCGTTTGCACCAGAAACGAGGAAGGATGTCTCATGGACTGTGGCAACCTGAACGCCGTATTGAAGCCAAACGTGGCGGCGAAATAACGCGAATCAGCAGTCGTCTTCTCTCTTCTTCGTGCATGTTTATACAAAACGAAAGTCTCCACAGCCGTTTTGTTTTAAGAGATTCTTCGAAAAAAAGTCACTTTTCGAATTTAGTTGAGATTTGGTTGAGCCGCTGTCTTTAGCCAGATTCACCTTGATTTCTTGCGAACATTTTGTGGGCAAACGTTCTAATGAAATATATGCGAAGAAAAGTTGGGTTTTGAGGAATTCTTGTTTCATACTTGTTGAGCTTACTTCCATTTCGAGTGAAAGTGTTGGGCGAAGGGATTCGAAGGTCGGTTCCACCAGAAGACGACGGCGGATTCCTCTTGACCAGCTGTCGATTGGTTTTACTG